CATGATAGCAATACTTAGAAACACTAAGGAATAAAAATATTCAGTGTCTACATAAGAAAACATTCTGCAGGTGGGGCAATAATGTAAGAAACAAAGTACTGGTGAGTGAGAAAAAGGCAGAATTCGCACATACACTCCTAGTCGTGATTATGTAAATTTAAATACAATACGATGAAAGAAATTCTGGAGGACAGGAGTGTTACCTTTGTTTTCCATTGCATTGGCTGTGGTCATCTTTCTTTGCATTTGAAAAAATTCTGCCTTCAACTTTTTAAACTTCTATCATTCATTTTGCATCTAGAATGTGTGTGCTGCCAGGAGTTTTTACCCTGGTTTCTCATCATCGTTATTGGTAATGTCACCCACACTCTTGCCCACCCAGCTCCCTTCTCAGTCTTGAATCCACATGCTCTGCAGTGTATAGTGCAGTCCATCTACCCAGCCAGCCACTGAGTACATCTTCTTCTACTTCACATTGCCATGCATTCATTTCCTGTTTATGGGGTGTGTACTATGCCCTGAACAGCCTGAAGGAAACTCAAGCAACAATCAAAATAAAAGAGGGCCTCTTAATTCAAGTAGCACTCAACTTCCTTTGTGTCAGTCATTTTCCTAGTTATCAGATGTCAGACTCACCTTCAAGTCCTTCTGTGTTTCATTCTTCCTGCCAGTAAAGATTTGCTCGAACTCCCCATGTGAACTTCAGCCCAGAAATACCTTTCATATTCGTGACTTTCTTTTTCATGTCCACAGTCAGTACCCTCCTATGATCTTCATTTTTCCCCCTTGGGTTATTCTATTACAGTATCCAAAGTGATGCTTTTTGCAACATACTCTCACTTACAATTCTAATTACTATCACACTGAGCTATAAAATAAATCACCTGAATATAGAGTTTGCTGATAATCACTGCCTGTTCAAAAATACCATTGATAATTTTCTATTAAATAAAATACTTCCTTAACTTGATGCTTGAAGTTTTTTTTTTTTTTAACGTATTAAGTTGAACAGAATAACTGAATGATTCATTCAGTTCAGTTAGGAATTCAGAAAGCCATTTCATATGGTACAGTGGATAGTATTTCCTACCATCCCACCTTTTCCTGTTGAGAGTTCCCTTCAACTGCCCTGTCTTCTGGAGTACAAAGAAGTCAGCCAGTTTGCAGGCTTGCCCATTCCTTCCTCCATTGTTTGGCTAAGGGTGTTTGCTCTTTCATGCATTATTTCCCCTTCAATAGAGCTCCTCTGTTCATCTCTAAATTCCACATAAATAGCTTCCTCTGTAAGGTCCTTTCCTCAGGACTAGTGATACTGCCCTGCAATGAGTCCTTTAAGGAACTGCTCCTGCCTCTCCTCGGGTACCAGCGAGCCTTGTGCTACTTCCTCATCGCACTCTGCTGCACGCAGCTCAACCCGGAAGCACAGCTGTGTGTTCACCTTTACAAGCAGAGGCTCCTGTGCACCTACGTGGAACCGCTAGTGACTCTTCTGAGTTAGTCTCAAGTTGGAACGTGGCATTTTCACACTGTGGAAGACACCGTTGCCTATATATTTGTCTCCTTTGGAAATTTAAACCTTCTCCCATTATTTCAACTTTAAAAAATCTTTACAGGGTGTGGCATTAGTTATGCTATTTAATTATAGAATTCTCTGATGTTCTTATACAAATCACGACGTTCGACAACATGACTCCAGGATAATGTGACAGAAGGTGCTTTATGAATTTATTCATTTTAAAACTTATCAATTTACCTCTAATGTTCCTTCTTAAAAAGAAAGGTTTTGGGGGTCAAGGATTTAGCTCAGTGGTGCAGAGCCTGCATGGCAAGAGTGAGGTCCTGAGTTCAATTCTTGGGACCAGAAATAAATAAATAAATAAAAATTTAAAAAGACTTTCAATACATATATAACCTATACATGTAATTAGCTATGTATGTGGTAATTTACCAGAGTTTGAATATAATAATTATTCATTTTAAATATGCCTTCACATACATAGTCTTTCTCTCTCTCTCTCTCTCTCTCTCTCTCTCTCTATATATATATATATATATATAGTTTTACAAGTTTTACAATACTATTTTAACCTTGCTGCAGTAATGCAAGTAGCATCTGCATAAATTTAATATTAAGAAAATGACTGTATGCCCAAAATTATGCTGAAAAAATCCTGTAGTATTTAGTCATTTACATGAGGGCTTTGGAGTTGGCCTTTGAGTTAACCGCCTAGCAGGAATCTCAGTGAGCTCATCTTAAAATGGTGACCATGCCTACCTCCCAGGATGACAGAGTGAGTTAAATCAGACAACATGAGCTAAGGGCATAGGACATTGTCAAGCAGATAATTAAGACAAAAATATTACAGATTTATAACTAAAAAAATTCACAACAAGATAGATCGGTGTTTTCTAATATGATTCTAGAAGCTTCTTTACAGGTTCTTTTAACTATATAGAATGATAGTGCTCTAATGTAAATGCTTTGTTGTTCATTATGGACTGGTAAGTATGACATTACTTTAATATTAAATAGTATTACAGAAAGGAGAGGAGAGAGAGACAGAGGGACAGAGAGAGACAGGGAGTCCTCCTCCCTGCCGCAGCAAAACCTTGGCTAAAGACATCAAAAGCATAAACAATGCCAAGGCTGGAAGCAGCATTTAGGAAACATCCCTAAGCAAAGCCTGTGCTGCAGTTTGGCACTGTCCCCTCGGTGAGGAAAGTGGAGGAACATTCCAGAAAATCTTTCCATCTCACTCTACATCTAGAAATGCTTTGCAATAAAACCTGGAGAAATGTACAAACATACCTCATTCACTTTTCCACCCCATCCTACTTATTTACTTCTTATAAGCTAAAAATATATAATAAACATTTTGTTTAATTACAGAAAATGCTATTTTACAGTGCAGGATATCATGAAAGGCAAAAACAAACAAAGTAATGGGAGAAAATTCTAAATAATTCACTTATTCATTAAGTAATTAAATAAGAATCTACTGAGCTCCTCCTATTGCCCAACACTATGTACTAAAGCACAAGTGAAAAACAATTAATAAAAGAATTAATTATGATTATTAATTCTGATGAATTGGAGACATAATGATACAAATACCTGACCCTCTTAGAGTTCAGTAGTTCAATTCTGTTTGGGTTTGACTCCCTGGCAGAAGGTGTGGGTAAGCTGGTTTTTATTGCCAGTCTGCCAGCACACTACAGAGGGGTTTCAAAATGGTCCCACAAAATGTAGGCTCCCAGAGCCACGTGGGTAGATCACGTGCTGCTTCTTCAACACCCAAACTGCAACACAGCTCATTTCTACTTGGCAACGTATTGCAGACATTTTTTTCCCGGAAGTTAAATGATAACTTCATCTTTTTCCAATTTGTACAAATACCTTAGAGCTCAAAATGAACACAACAAGTTGTTAAGTGAGTCTGAAGTTTAGGAAACAGACCACAAAATATATGCTGTATGGATTTACAAAAAAAGTACCAAATAGATCCCTTCACCAAACACGAAATGCTTCATTTACATTGAGTGGAACTGAAAAGAATGGTCTCAGGTGCTGTACAATAGCCAGAAGGAGCAGTATTGTTTGGGATTTCATGTATAATTCTACTGAATCATTTCTGAGAAAAATGCAATATAATTTCATCTTTCTCCAGGGCAAGCCTGTTAGAAGGTATTCAGTATCTGAAAGAATACCATTTCCTTCTTGAGACTCTACTGATTTACACTAAGAAATCCATCCTCCTTTTCAAAAATCTTGTGCGATGTTGCCAACACTCGGTAAGATTGTGGACAGTGTCATCTGCCCCTTCCTCTCTGCCACAGTAACTCCCCTTAGAAGCAGGGTTCTTTAGAAACATGGTGGAGTGAATAAATTAAAGTTCTCATTATTACGTATTGCAGAGAAAATCAACCAAGGACAATGCCTTAGTTCCCTTCGGTTGCTACGAATATTCCTTCTCCCCAGGTGCATGCTCTTATGTATTTAGGGGTCAGTTGTTGAGCACTGACCATTTTTAAGTACGTGAAAATAACAAAGCTAAGTTGACTGAATGACACGTTTTGGATAGTCTTGAGGGACAGTGCTACGTGATACCCTGAGAAGGTTGAAACGGTTATTGATCTCCTTCTCAGTGAGGCAGAAAATGTCTTCCATTTTTTAAAAGGCAAATTATACATAAAGGATTTATTCACGTAAACATATGTAGAAGTCTAAGATAATGTTAAAGAATTAAACAAAAGGTTATACCCATAACTGCCCTCCCGAGTCAATATCCATCTTGAAACCGAATTTCAAAATTAATATTTTTTCATGTAAGGCATGAGGCCCAGGATCAATGGATTCAACTGCTTCTGTGCCAAAGATGAAGGATTCATTTCTAAGCTGGCAATTACAAATAAAGCTTTTATAAGTAAAATCAGTTCTTTTAAGAACCGACATCTCAGCCTTTAGGTATATCCATTGTTGAAGACATAACCATCAGGGAAGAAGTTGCAATGTTTTATTTGCAACACCCAACAATACTGAGTCATCCCTGGGTTTTCGTCTCTACTGCTCACTCATTCTGCCCGGAAATGGCAAGCCATTTCATTTACCCATAAAAAAAAATCACTTATTAATAAGAAACCTCTAGATAAAAATCATTCCCTGAAAGATTTCTCTTAAGTTCAAATTTATACATTTTAATATAGGTAAGAATCTTGGACTTAAAAATATTACAATAAATACAATTTGAAAATAAGCCAGACATCTAAATATTCATTAATGATTTTCAATATAGGTACAAGATATAATTTCTCAGGAAATTTCTAATCAAAACAGCCTTGGATATCGCCTTTATCTGCATAGGACGTTGCATATGCTACAGACAATGATCAGTGTAGGCTTATGGATAAAAGACCAACGATAAAGAGATTAACTGAAATAAAAACATTGCAATTTTCCCTGATTTTCTCTCACTTAAACAGCTAAACAAAGCAAGCAGTACCTTTTTAATTTTCTGAATGAGTAGTTTCCAATCAATGCTTCCTCAGAGATAAGCCGAAGAATCTACCGAAACAAAAGACAAAAAAGAAAACATATATACAGATTTGTTAACTAAATATCAAAAAGCGCAACTCACCAGTAAGCAAATGCATTCTTTATATCCAGACAATAAATCTATGCCTTGCTGTCTGTAGTATAAGAAATGCGGTACTTGAATTCTTAGGCTCCATAATAAATTTTAAAGCATCTCACTCTGAGAGCACATAAAGCAAATCCTTTGAAAACTGCATTAGGAATAAAGCAAAATGAAAACGAAAAGCCCCACACCGTTACCAGCGCAGATGCAGCAATCCTGGCTGTCCAGCCTTTGAGAGCCGCCCAGTTCCCCCTCCAGCAGCCTGGTCTGCAGGCTGGCTCTCCGGCTTGCTAGCTCCAGACAGACGCAGTCTGCAAGCCACCAGCTCTGTCTGTGTGTGTCGGGGGGAAAAGGAGGCTGCAAATTAGAAGAAGTCCCCGCAGTGGCGAAAAGGAAAATAAGGCGAGTGGGAGAGGGAGAGAGAGCTCACTACCCTCAGAATTTTCGAGAATGATGACAAGCCACTGGGCTCCGCCATCACTCACTGACGATAGGACGCAGCCCTGGCTTCCGATCTACTGATTTGCCATAGGGGCTCCTGGTACCAAATGCCTGACAGGCATTTTAATTGCCTCCATCCAAGTGTGTCCCCAGGCGTGGAGTCTATACGCCTATGAATGTCATCATCTGGTCTCCTTTGTGTTAATGCCAGGCACGCGTGCACACACACACACACACACACACACACACACACACACAGACACACACACAGAGTGCTTAAATACAGACAATCTTCAGGCGTCTAAGATTAGAAACAAGTTAAGCTACACAAACTGAACAGAAATAAATGACAGTTTTAGGGAATTTTTACTCTTTGCATCAAAGACACTGGAGGCTTTGCATTTTGTCACCGGCAGACAACAACGTTATTTTAAAAACTGTTGCACATGGCTTATTCATATTTGAAATATAAAATGCTTATTTGTATTTCAAATACAAATGAGAAATGCATACCCTAATGTGTATTTTCCTGTAGAACACTCCATCCCCTTTTATATATGCTAAGTATGTACTTGGTAATATTTTCTTTATGTAAGGGTAAGGGCAAAACAACACAACACAACACAAAACATAAATAAGCTTAGGAAACTGGGTTGATATTCCACTGGGCAACCCATTTTATTCTGTTTCCATACAGAAGCAAAAGGAAGTGGCACCCAGCTTGAGTGTTGGGACTTAGTATCTCCCTAAGGGCCCAGGCAAAGAATGAATCTTTGGCATAATCAGTATCCCTTTCATGTCAGTAACTGAAATTAACAGTTGAATGTCCCCGTCTGACAATGCCCCTTCTGTAGGGGAGTTAAGTGTAGAATAATTCCCTGCATGTATCTGGAGAAAAGGGAAGAAGAGAAATGTTAATAAGTAAATTAATTTTTATGGCATAGTTAGTGCTCTGTACCAGTGAATGGAGTAAAATTCGATGCCCACCAAAAGGGCCAGCTGGGAGTGGGAGAGAGAATCACCATGGTTACCGGAAACAGAAAGTAAGAAGAAAATAAGGTGACCAAAGAAGAGAGGGGAAAAGACCACAGCATAGGAAATTCAGAGACAAAGTGATAGGCTTCGTTCTTTTCTTTCTGGAAAGAACTGTCTCTGTCAGTCTTGTATTTTGAATTTGTTAAAATGAATTTCAGGTCAGCAGCTAATTTTGCTTTCATAAATATTCCAATTTGGGTTTTTTGGAGGGGTCTGAGGTCGATCCTGCTTCTCCTTGCTGTACATACACTGGATTGGTGCAGCTCACACAGCTCATTCCACACCCTTTGTTTCTCGGCAGAGGAAGCTGAGGTCCAGGGAGTGTGAACAGTATCATGAATCAGGCCTGGCTCCCTGACTGTCTCCTGCCCGTCCTCTCCAACCAAGGGACTCCTCTCTCTTCTCTCTCATACTCCTTTCAGACAAAACAGATTACAGACACATCCTTTGTCTTTCACTTGTAAACCTTTCATTTGCTAAGGCAATAATCTTCCTCTTTAAAGCACACTGCAATCATCCTGTGAACCAGCTTAGCTTCCTATGGTGCTGGACTGTACTTGAGGTCTGCAAAATCTGGGGTAATTATGTCAACGGCTTTTCTTTCATTTCCAGTGTGGCAATCAGATAAATCGAGCATGATTGCCCTTCTGTAGACCTACCTTGTGGAGCCTGGACTTAATCGTCATATGGGAGGTCCTCCATCAACACTGGTATCATTTTCTATGCAGGTATGAAATTGGACAGTTATATTGAACAACTTTTCCCAAGATTCTTTTTTTCTTTTTTTTTTTTTGTCTTTTTCCTTTTTATCGGTACCAGGGATCGAACTCACGACTGCCTGCTTGCAAGGCGGGCGCTTATGCAGCTGAGCTAAATCCCCAGCCCCTCCCAAAATTCTTCCAGACACAGACATTGAAGCTGCTGAAAGCCCAGTCAAAATTGGGGGTGAGGTGGAGAAAGAGAGACAGAGGCAAAGAGACAGAAAGACAGACAGAAAGAGAAAGAGAGAGACAGAGAGACAGAGAGACAGAGACAGAGACAGAGAGAAATTGAGAGATTCAAAAACAACCACATGAGGGCGCAATATTTACTAACATTATTTGAACCACTCCATAAAAGCAGTGGCTAGTTTTCTATTGTTTCTAGTTTCTTTCCTGAGTCAATCTTAAAGTATATAATTAGAGTTCACAAGATCCTGGGTTAAATCCCCAGCACCAAAACAAAGATAAACTAAAAAAAGAAAAAACCTCCTTTCCCCCTAATATTCAGTTCCTGACATTGATTTTACGTTAATCCATTTGCAGGTAGAGTGATGTTTTTAAAAAAGTTTTCCTATAATACAGTGGCTATTGCCTTCACCATCTTCTTTTCGCACCTCAGCTAAAAGATGAAAAAAATCACACTAAACATGCATGATTACCCCTGGCAATAATGACAAGAGAGTTCATGATTTAGTGAATGCTACAAACAGGTTAGGATTCCTCCCTACAAAATGTATCCTTTAAAATATGATCTCCATAAATAGCTGTTTTTCTTCAGTGATTCTGGACAATAAGCTGACTTCTCACAGATAATGTTTCATTTTCATCTATTGTCTGTTCAGTTGTGAACACAGCAAGTGACGCCTAACATTCACTCCTGAAAGTCATTTAGTCCTGAGGGGCACCTGGACTAAAGTCATTTAGTCCTGAGGGTCCATACATACAAATGAACTGGTATATTCTCATTTTAAAAATCTGTTTCCATCACAAAAGTAAGCACTGCATAATTCTTGCCTTCAAGTCCATCTGAGTCTAAAAACAAAAGATGACAAATAATTCACAAATAATCCAGAGACTTCTGTGACGGGTTTTTCCTGTCTGGGCGCTGTCACTGTGCTGCCTTCCCAGTTCAGATCTGGCTTTGTCGCCCTGCAGTTTCATGGAGCCGCTTGTGATGGGACGCACGTGCAGGGAGCATCGTTTCCTGTTCAGGGAACTCCAAGGCCAGGAGAAGGAGCACAGGAGTAACAAGACAGGCAACTTATCCCTTCCCTCCTGGGAGCACTGGCCTCGCAACCAGACAGCCCATCACGTCCTGCTCCACTTTCTCTCTTTTCTTATCTTTCTCAGTTTTTTTTTTGTATTTTTGAGAACTGGTTTCACTATATGGTTCAGGCTGGCCTTGAACTCACTTGGTAGCCCAGGCTGGCCTTGAACTTGTGGCAATCCTCCTGCCTCAGCCGCCCAAGTACTGGGATTACAGGCTTCATTTTTCCTTTTACCATAGCACTGAACACACCATAAATTATCTTTTTAATTATGTCTACTATGTACTACCTGCTTCTTTCTGTTAGTTCCACAAGAGGAGTTTGGGGCACTAATATATTCAACCCCCTGAAAACAGTACCTCAAACATTCTGGTAACTCGAAAATATTTTTAAAATGAGTGAACATGAAAATGGCATTAGTGGATGAATTGGAGCATAAGAAAAGCTTCTGTATTCCATACCGATCTTCCTATTTTATACATTAAGTCTTCTGTAGGAACATTGTCCTTTATTTGTACCATAAACCACACTGCCACAGAATCAATATTTTCTTAATAATTTCCACTGTTGAATAAAAATAAAATAAAATAAAATAAAAACTTATTTAAAATTGGAATTATTCTCCTGCTTTCCTTAAAACCTGCAAAGTACCTACCATGGGGTTTCAGCTCTTGAATACTGAGAAGGGCTTGTTGGCCTGCTGGTGGAGGTAAAATATGCTAATTTGTAATTTTAGATATTAAAAATAGATTTAGAATAATCAACTACTGCTGCATCAGAGTAGAAATACTCTGGAATTGCTTTCATAAAATTTGATTATTACTACTATCATATATACTTGAAAATTAATAGAAATAATTACACTTTCATTCAGTACACTTGAGTTTGAGCTATTCTAATATAACGAGATACAAGTGCTTTACAAAATTAGTACACACCCAAATTGACCAAACATTGTTTTGCCTTATTTAACACAGATATTTTCTCCTCCGACAAAGTCAGTCCACAAAAGAATACTGAAGTGTAAAAGAGAAAAAAAGAAATACACAGAAAGAAAGTCATAATTAGCAGTCATAATTACATGAAATGCTGGATTTATATGACTTTTTAGCTATGAAATGGTAATTGCATAAAGTTCAACCTAATACCTAAATAGTAGCTATAAAAGACTGGAGAGTTGAATAGAACAAGTTTCACAAACAACCCCTCCAGCGGCCATGGCATATAGATAGCTTTCCACGTCAGGGCCTAACCCCGGGACTTGCTTACTCTGTGCAAATGCTCTGCTAGTACTGAGCCGCACCTCCAGCCTTGACGGTAGCATCACCCACAGGAGCTGAGACAGGTTGTAAACCATTCTTGATGAATGGATTCCAACCCCAAAAAAGAATGAGACCTTGCTTTGTGCCACAAGAGGGACAAACCTGGGGGGGGGGGCATTATGTTTGCTGCATTAGGCACAAAAAGAAAAATATTGCTTGATCTTTTAAAAATGAAATATACAGAGATAAAGAAAAATCTACTGGTGACAGAGTGGGCGTGGGCAGGTGGATGGTAGTAGGTCAGAGGATACAAAGCATCAAAGACCCAGGAGGAACAAGTTTGGAGGCTGCAGGTGCAATGTGAAGGCTACAGTAACACAGTCACACAGCAAAAGTCACATCGTAGCCCGTAGCAGTGTGCATTATGATTTGTGACACAAAAATAATATTAATTGCAGCTATGGTAAACCTGTGTAACAGAAAATTCTTCGGCAATAAAAAAATGACATTTAGACAGATGTACAACATGAATGAGTCTCAGAGACGTTACAGTAAGTCAAAAGAAGGCCATTATGAAAGGCCGTATACTGGGCAATTTCATTTATATGAAATGCCTAACCCAGTCAAGAAAATAGAGACACAAAGTGTACTGGTGGCTGCAGAGGCTGGGCAGGAAATAACAAAGCGGGCCTGGGGTTTCTTTAGTGGGTATGGGTTTTTTCGGGGGGAGTGATAATTGGGTTCCAAAATTAGATAATGAGTGTTGCTTAACTATGACTGTACTAAAGTTCATTGAATTGTACACTTTAAAAGGATGAATTT